CGTGACGATGCCGCCATCAAAATATGTTACGTCCGATTCAAAATTTTTTGGAGGGGACGTCCGATCCCCCGCGAGAGGAGCCTCCACCGGCAGTGAGACCGGCGATCCAAGGCAAATGCCTAATCCTGGAGCATCGCCCGGTGAGGTTCCGTCACAAGATCGTGGATCCCGCGAAGAAGAATCCAACACCACCACCATCTCCCGTTAGAAGGAGGGAACGGAGTGGCCCGCAGGAGGAGACCCTATCGGGGACCCTTACAGGAATGATCAGAAGGATAGTAGCGGAGGAAATGGCCAGGGCCACTGGAACTTCTGTTCCGAGAACGCACAGGACAGAGAAAGCCGACATGCAGATGACAAAGCCGTCGGAACCCACGGCTGCAAAGCGGACAGAAACGAAAGCGAAACGCAGAGAAGAGAGAGCCGTGAAACCCGACGTGCGCAAGCGGGACATGGGGGAGAAAAGCCGGCCCACTGTGCAGTAGGAGGACTCCATCCCACGGCAGGAGTTATGGACCGAAATCCTAGGTCGGAGAGCAAAAAAGGGTTCGAAAAGTGCTCCCCCATCAGGGGTGGAGTAATCGCCCGAGCCGCTATGAAGGGACAACCCCGGACAAAACTAAGCACCGAGGTGAAACAAAGGAGGCCGCCGCGCACCGCCGCCGTGCAGATTAGCAGCAGAGGCGAAACAACGTATGCAGAGATAATGAGGATTGCAAAAAACACAATAGATCTGCAAGAATTGGGGATTAAGGAAATCCGTCCTAGGAGGGCCCGCACCGGGGCTTTCCTTTTAGAGATTGCCGGTGGAGTTGAGGGCGCGGCCAAACAGATGCACTGGCCACGAGGCTACAAGAGGAGCTGGTTGCAAAGGAGGATGTACGGGTCTCGCGGCCGGAGAAGACCGCTGAAATCCGGTTAAAAAACATCGAGGATAAATAAATATCATTTATTTATAAAATTATATTTAATTATATATATCAAATATATGTAAAATATTGAACATGCATGTTTATAAAAACAATTATAAAATAATTGAGATTGGATATTGATGATTTTCAGGTGATGTTACTATAGATATAAACAACAAGGAAAATCAAA